TTTGAAGGAGACAAGCAGTCTTCAAACACTTTAGAGTTCTGCAGATTATGACATTTGAGATGTTTTAATAAAAAAGCACTGTTGTTTTTTTTTTTTCATGAAATGTCTGTTCCTGACAGCACCAATTTACTTCAAAAAAGGATAATGGACATTGAAGTATCTCCATACGGTGTCTGCTTTTATTGTGGCAAAGTTTGACACTTGGCAAGAAACTGACAAGTGCCTTCAATGCTGACAGTATACTATCCAAATTGAACAAGCAGGACACAAAAGACAACTGCCAAATTTTGCCAAGACAAAGTAGGACAGTCTTTCAAAATTTCTGTTTCACAGAAAGTCTGTCAGATATTTTAGGCCTGTAGGCTGAAGATGGATGCCCCAGTGTTATTGAGAAAATGTGGTTGACTGTCTGGGCATCCAGCTGTTTCTGTCATTTCTATGGTTTTGGAAGTTGTTTGCTCTGTATTTTTTGGAAGTTTCTTGCTTGCACACCCTATTTAATCAGATAAAATTATTTCTTTCTCAGTTTTCTGATCAAGTTGAAACTGAAGATGAATGCCTTTACACTTCATAGGAACCTTGGGTGATTGTCCAGGAAGCTAGCTGTAATTTGTCAAATTTTTTGGAAATTCCTTGCTTGCACACCCTATTTACTCAGATAAAATTATTTCTTTCTCAGTTCTCTGATCAAGTTGAAGAATTTATATTTATAGTTTTCCCTAGAGCAGATTCAGTAATGAAATTCCCTAAAGAAATATAAAGTATATATGGTTGAGAAACATACAAAGATACTTTAGTAATGCAAGATAGAATAGAAAGTGAATTAGTTACAATCATGTGGAACCACCAAAATAGGATAGATACTGGATTATTTTTGTGAATTTGTCAAATATTTACAGACTAGACATTGATGTGTTGATGTGTTTATTGCTTGGATATTTTGTATATAGTTATTGTTCTTGTTGCATATACTTTTTCTTATATTAGTTATAACCATTTTATGTTTTAGACAAAAAAATGGAAATGCAAAATTTTGTTTGTGCTCTAAAAAATAAAGTAGATATAAGAGGTGGGTGCCTGTGGCTCACACCTCAGGTGGAGACAGGAGTATAAGGCTGGAGGAGGCAGTATTTAGTCTTATTCATATTGAGAATTTGTAAAGACAGGACCTCCCCAGCACTTCCATCTGAACATTTGGTGCAGGTAAGAAGTTCCTATAGTGTTGGCTCCTTTAATTCTCTTATGTCTCAAGATTTACCCAATTATCTGACATCTCACTCGGCGTTTTTACTATTTAAACCAATTTGAAGAAATGCTACAGAGCACCTTTTAACCTCTACAAACACACACACACACATACACACACACACAGAGAGAGAGAGAGAGAGA